AAACCAAGGTACGCCATCGACAAAATACCTTGGTGCCCTCTCCGGATAAAACAAGGCACACCAACCACTCAGTCGACTTCGATTTAAAAGACTTTGGTATCACATGAGTAAAACCAAGGCACTTCATTGACACTAAAGAACTTGGTGCCCTCTCGGGATAAAACTAAGGCATATAACAAGTCGGCCAATCCAAAAGATCTTGGTATCAAATGAGTGAAACCAAGGCATTTCGTCCATTCAGCCGACTCTAAATACCTTGGCCTCATCTACGAATAAGACCAAGGCACGCCGCCAAGGCATGCAAACAAGATCAAGAAGCAGCACTCACCGCACATATAGCAAGTCAACTCGATCCAAAAAACCAATACAAAATTACAAATCTCAAGGCAAGATAAACCTACACCAAATACTTACGGCAATCAAGAGGGCAAAAACATGATTTTTGTTCATATATCAAGACATTTTAGATCGCTATTCACATTTGTATTTACAAAAAAGAGAGTTAAAAATAAAGAAAAACTTTGCGTACATTAAATCCTCAAGAAGCTTGGCTCGAGTCGGGAGCTGAACTAGGAAGAACGACACTCAACTCAGGAGCAAGAGTCACCCGAGTAGCAGTGGTGGCGACTTCATCGTCCCTAACATGATCTTCTACCAACTCCTCATCTCTATCGTTTCCCTCATCCACGTCCAACACTATCCCCCCTCCTCTCATCTCTATCTCCTTTAAAATACCAACACAGTTGGCGACACAAGAGGGGTAAGAGATACGGTCTGGGCCGGGATTGGATTCAAGAGGGAGCAGGTCCAGAAGATAGTCAAAACCTGCCTTGCAGGCTAACGACACATCTACTTTGCCTATGGGGCTATTGTAGTATTTCTCCATAACTTCCCCCCTACAGTCCTCCGACTCCAAGAAGGCAAGGTGATCCTGCAAAGATTGAAGGTTGGCCAGAGATGTCTCATGGGTAGACTGCTCCTCTTCGAGATCCATCTTCAAGGTCTGAGCCGCCAAGCGATCCGACCGAGCGCATTCCTGGGCATTAAGTCTTGCGCGCTTCTCACCTTCAACCTCTTTAATCAGATATTTGATTTGACCCTCCCGATCGAGGATCTCGTGTTGATAAGTGCCACCTCCTTAAGCTTAGTAATCGTGGCCAATTGTTTGATGTGATGTCCCTGGAGCCCTTTGATCATCATTTCCCTCATCTCTATCTCCCGACACCATCTACCCTCACTTCTGTTCTAAGCCACCGCTTTTGTTCCAAGCCACCCCCTTGGCCTCTAAGGCGGCAACTTTCCACTCAGCTGCCTCCCGAGTCGTCCTCTCCTCCTCAAGCACTTCGTTAAAATTATTTGGGAGTATTTGCACAAGCTTGAGCCGAGAAAATATCTCTTGCTCGATCAAGGCTCCCTATACTAGATAACCATTAAGGGCTTGATGGAGGCCAACACTAGGCGTCGCTATAAGCATGTTGTCCTCCCTCGTAAGGGAGAACTGCCGCAAAGCCTGGGACTAGGCCGCTTGCGACTCCAGAACTGAGCTTCTCTTGTCGAGATACTTCTTAGGGACGAATTTGAAATCCACAAGCGGTTCCCCCTTGCACTGAGGACCTTCGTCCAACACGCCCATTAGCATAGCCTTAAATTTCCCCTACACTTCAGGGTTGAGCTCATCAATGCGATGGCAGAAGGGCCACACGTAGCCATCCTCTAGGGCTAGAGCCTTGTCCACTCTCCCTAACTCCTCTGTCATCTGAGTTTGGGTCGTCCCCTCTACGGTTAGGATCAGAATATCAACAAGCTCCTTGCCAATCATGTAGGCTGGCTCTGAAGGGAGGGCCTAAGCAGCATGCTCCTCAACCCGGACTTCGACCTCCACATGCTCAGCCACCTCTTCTCCCCCCGCTGGCCGAGAAGGAGAAGCCTCATTGATAATAACGATCTTCGTATGCTTGGAGGGAATGACATTTGAATGCGAACTAACCTTAGGACTTGGAGCAAAAACATCTACCTTCGCTGCTTCCGCCGATTCTGCTAGAGCCGGTTCGACACTAGCATGTGGCCCTTGGCCCCTGTTCAGACTTCTTCTCCTCTTCTCCGATCTTTCGGCTTGAGCGGGGGCACTCGGCCCTACCAATTGAGCCTCAAATTTAGCTGCATTCGCTGTCATCATCTTAAGTTCTTCACGAGCTAGCTCCTCCCTCAATCGTTTTTAGGGTCTTATAGTTGAGCCTAGCTTCGATGAAGATGGGTCAGGCCCCTTCCCCTCCTTCAATGAGATAGCCAAGATTGTTGCTTGAATGGTAACCGTTTTAGTTGGCGAAACCCTAGATACGTCGATCACTCTAAGAATGGCCTCCTCAGCATAAGCCTGAATCCTCTGAAGTTTTTGTGCCTCCTCAGCCAAAAGCAAGCACAGCTTCAGTGCATCCTTCTTGATCTCAGGCCAAGTCGGACAAGAGAGAATAAGGTTAGCTCTAAAAACCCACGTGAACTTCTCCTTCCAATCTTTGTTGGAGTCAGCAGTGTTTGTCACCAAATTCAAGTCACACACATTCTGTAAGAAGTAATGCCCCTCCTTTTTCGTCGTCTTGACACTGACAAAGTGGCCAAATAGACGCAGACTTGGTCGACACCAACCTGAAGACAGACCACCACAAGCGCCACCAAAGTGGCGATGGAATTTGGCATGATCTGAGAAGGGGACACCCCCAGAGCCGCACACACTTGGCAGATGAAAGGGTGAAGTGGCAATCAGAGCCAATACTCCAAATACTTCAGATAGAGAGGCGACCTATTGCCGTCGTGATGATACACTGTTCAGATTCCCCCGGCCCCGACAAAGTTAAAGCCTTGGGAAGATCGAAGCACTCATGATAAACCTCAAGCTCTGCTGTGCAAAGCTTTGAATGGAAGGGTTGAAGAAGGTCGATCCTTATCTCGTTACGGCCAGTGGTGGAAGCATCGAAAGCCACCGAAGATCATTCAAAGTTAGAACAGAAGATCAATAACAACAACAAACTCTAATCTAGGAAGCTAGAGTAAAGAAGCGTGGAAGAAGAATCTCTACACAAAGGGGGGAATATGTATAGACCTCGATGGGGACACATGTCAAGATCGGAATTGTCGACCCAATCCTGGATGAATGGCTGAGATTGACCTTAGAATCTGAAAGGGCCTTATGAAAAAAGAAGAGTTGCCCTTCATTTGATGCGACACTTTGCTTAGAAATCGAAGCGACAATGATGCTTGGTAGTCGATGATGTCAAAAGGACACCTCAACAGTGCCCCATCATTTCCTCCATAAATGCACCTCATGACTTGACAAACCGTGATTTCACTCGAACCCGGCCTACACCGAGTCCAAGTGAAAGGGGCTAACTGTTACGACCCAAAAATCACTAAGTATTAATCTCCATTAAGATGCTGACACGTGTCCCTACAC